TGCTCCCTAACATGCATTCTGAAATGAGTTCCTGGATGCGAGAGAAGCAATGCAGTTAAATACAGACCAGCCTAAATAATTTTATTTTATTTTTATTTATTTATTTTGGGGGTGCCAAAGATTGAACCCAGGGCGCTTAACCTCTGAGCCACAGCCACAACCCTTTTTATATTTTATTTGAGACATGGTTTCACTAAGTTGCTCAGGGCCTTACTAAGTTGCTGAGGATAGCCTCAAACTTGTGATCCTCCTTGCTCAGCCTTTAGAGAAACTGGGATTATAGGTGTTATGGTTTGGATATGAAGTGTCCCCCAAACCTCACCTGTGAGACAATGCAGGAAGGTTTGGAGGAGAAATGATTTTGTGAGAGTCTTAACCCAATCAATGAATTAATCCCTGATGGGATTAACTGAGTGGTAACTAGAAGCTGGTGAGGTATAGCTGGAGGAAGTGGTTAATTGGTGGTGTGGCTATGGAGTATGCATTTTGTTATCTGGAGCTGGAGTCTCTCTCTCTCTGATTCATGATCACTGTGATGGGAGCTGCTTCCCTCTGCTACACTCTTCTGCCATGATGTTCTACCTTACCTCAAGCCCTAAGGAATGGAGCCGGCCTTCTCCAGGCTAAGACCTCTGAAATCATGACCCCTCAAATAAACTTTTCCTCCCCTACAGTTGTTCTGGTCAGATCCTTTAGTCACATCAGCAAAAAAGCTGACTAAAGCAATAGGTGTGTGCTACCATGCACAGCCCAGCTTAAATAATTTATAATCTGTAGTCAATCTAATCTATGTTAGACATCTGTAAAATTTGAGAGGGGTAAAGATTAAAGAATTGGCTCATGAGAGGTTGGTAACTCCAAAATCAGCAGGGCCAGGTAGTGAGTTAATGTTTCAGTTCAAGTCCAAAGTCCATCTGTGGCATCTGACCATCTGTCCCTCTTGCTTGAGAGAGGTCAGTCTTTTGTCCAAGTCAGACCTTCAGCTGACTGGTTGAGGCCCACTCCCCCACTTTATGAAGGCCACTCAGCTTTACTCAAAATCTACCAATTTAAAAATACATCTCATCCCAAAACACCCTCTATTTTGTTTTTGGTTTTTTTTTATAAAGAGAGAGTGAGGGGGGAGAGAGAGAGAGAGAGAGAGAGAGAGAGAGATAGATTATGTTAATATTTATTTTTTAGTTTTTGGCGGACACAACATCTTTGTTTTCATATGGTGCTGAGGATCGAGCCCAGGCCGCACGCATGCCAGGCAAGTGCGCTACCGCTTGAGCCACATCCCCAGCCCCCAAAACACCCTTCACAGAAACATCCAGAGTAATGTTGAACTATCTGGGCACAAAAGCTTAGTCAATTGACATGTACAATTAACCATCATGAGCATTGTTTTATTTGATAATGAGTTTCTTTGGACCTCATCACACTCTAGGAATACCAAGGCATTGTGTCATACATGTGAATATTTTCTCTCAAGGGTGTCATGGTAAATAAAAGAACAAAATCACAATTCTACATAAAGGCAATAGCTAAAACCAAGACAGAAGAGAAGAGAGAAAAGGATCAAACCCTGGGAAATACTTGGCTAACTGCAGGTAGGAAATGGAAGAGAAGACAGTGATGGAGCTGCTGGAGAGGACAGAGCAGTGCATTAGGGCTCACAGACAAAGCCTGAGAGTCAACATTGCTCAAGGTGTGAGCAACCAAGGATGTCAACATTCAACAGAGACCAGATCTCTAGGAGTTCTTGTCTTGGGGTATAAGCAGATAGCATGCCAATATGAGCTATTTGGGAAGCATTTAATAAAGTCATTACTCAGAGAGTGCAGCAAGTGTAAGAAAGAAGTAGGGAAATGACTACAGTTAATGCAGTGCCCAGGTACAATTAAAAAGGGACACTGAGTGTGGATGTTGGAGAAGTATTTAGCACCCCTAGGTTAGAAGAAACTTGGGAAAGGAGAGCTTCCTCCAACCCAAAGACCTAGAGAACTAACAGGAGGTGTGACCTTGTGCAAAGGGCTGCAACAAGCTATGTCAACCCCGCCAGCAGGGAGCAGGATGGGGAAACACTCTGTCCTGACCCTCCTTCCTGCATCACCTGTGGATGTTCCCACTGACTCCTGGGTGGGAAGCCAGAGTGAGGTTGCCTGACAAAGTACAAGGCACCCAGTTAAACTTGAATTTCAGGTAACCTTAAGTTATTTATATTATATGTGGCATGGGACATACCTACATCAAAAGTCATCTATTTTTCTCTAGTTGGTGTTCTGAATACTCTTTAAGGCATTCTAGAAAAATAAAGATTTAGAAAATGAAATATGTAGATGGACAAAACTTTTAAGATTTCACATTTACCTTTTAACCAGAGTGTTCATTTCTTTTAACAAACTCAGGGGAACAGAATAACTCATTTATTCTCTAGGATCTTCAGAGCTGATTATTATAACATTTTATGTTTATATGCCTTTTCTTGCTACATATTGCACTATTTATTCAAAGTTGTGGTTTGAATGTCCCTTCAAAAACTCATGTTGAAATTCAGTTGCCATGGTAACTATTAAGAGGTGAGACTTTTCAGAGATAATGTCATTATCATGAGCATGGTCTGCCCTCATGAATATATTAATGCTGTTATCACAGGAGTGGGTTAGTTATCACAAGAGTGGGTTTTTAATAAAGGGTAATTTATCGCACCTTTTTCTCCTCTCTCTGTTTCAGACATGCTCACTTGCCCTTCCACCATATTATGACACAGCATGGAAGCCCTCATCAGATGCTGGCTTCATGATCTTGGACTTGTCAGCTTTCAGAAACTTGAGACAAACCTCTATTGTTTATAAATTATCCAGTCTGTGATATTGTTATAGCAGCAGAAAATGACAGACATAGACAACTTCTAAATTTTAATTTTGTAATTATAAAAAAAAATTTTAACTTCTAAAATTTTTACATTACATTTTTTATAAGCTAATTTTGCCAGATTTTTGCAAGATTACCATGGAGGCCTTTGATGAGACAAGAATTCTAATTATCTGAGTCTTTAAACCAAGACCATTCTGATCATATGGATTGCATTTGTATTAATTACTATTATGGTTCTAATATGAGATATATCCCCAAAATTCATGCATGAGGCAATGTAAGAATTGTTTGGTCGTGGAATGGTTAGATTGTGCGAATTTTAACCAAATCAGTGAATTAATCCCTTGATATGTATTAATTTGGTCATAACTATAGTTAAGTGAGGAGTTGCAAAAGGAGATGGGTCACTGCAGGGGAAGGGAGGGGCCTTTGGAGTTTATATTTTGTCCCTGGTGAGCAGGTAACCAGGAAGCTCTCTCTGCTTCCTGGTTACCATATCCTGAGCTGCTTTCCTCATCCTCACTCTTGCACCACGATGTTCTTTCTGCTCACCTGGGACCCAGAGCAATGGACTTGGCCTCTGAAACCACAAGTGCCAAGTAAACTTTTCTTTCTCTATATTATTCTTGTTAGGTCTTTTTGTCATAAGGACAAAAAAAGCTTACCAAAACAATTACCCAAGCCCCGACACATACCAGCATGTGATTATGGCAGACATCTTCATGTTAGTTAATTCCTTCTCCATTTCTGAGTTCCCTCTGTGATTTTGACACTGGTGACCCTCACATGAGTAGACATGGTCCTCATTCTCTAAGAACTCATGCAACATGACCCTAAGACAACTGAGCGCCATGAGAGAGAGAGATGCAAAAAGCACAAGCAGCCGAAGGAACAGCTAATTCTGGACTTGAGAGGAAAACCAGGGAATATTCCTGAGGGGCAAGGTATTTCTCAAAATAGTAAAAGTCAGTCACAGTTCTATATTTTGAAACTCTCTGGATCTGTAGTATCCTTATGTCTTTAACACTTTAATTCTAGTTCATTTTTTTAATGATCAATAATGGTTGGAGATGTAGCTCAGTTGGTAGAGTGCTTGCTTAGCACACACAAGGCCCTATGTTCAATCCCAAGCCCCAACAAAAAAAAGTCCAGATTTCTTCCAAATCTCACACTAGATAACTAGAATTCCCATCAAATCCCTCAGGTTTAACTGAAATTACACCGACTGTATCCCTGCTATCCCATATCCTCAAAAGATTTCATCCAGAATAAGGAAAACCAATACTGTACAACTAGCTACTATAGATAAAGTCCAAAAATACACACACACACACACACTGAATGTTGTTATAGGGCTAGTGTTGCTCAGACATTGTCCATTTGAGTTTTATGTCAAATCTGACTATCACCTGTAATTTTTATTTATTTAAAATTTGTCTTTAAAAAAGAGAGTAAAACGGTGGTCTCAGAGGGTAGGAGGGGAAGGGGAGAGAGAATAGAAAGATGTTGGATAACAAGTATCAAAATACAGCTAAAAAGGAGGAGTAAGTTCCAGTGTTCTATAGCAGAGAAAGGTAAGTACAACAGTTTCTTGTATATTTCAAAATAGCTAAATAGCTATGCCCAACACAAAGAAATGATAAATGTTTGAGGTGACAGAAATGTTAACTACCCCGATTTGATTATGATCTATTATATATTGAAACATCATACTGACAAAGATAAATAAGTATAATTACTGTGTCAATCAAAATGTTTTTTAAAAAAGGAAAAATCACCAAATAAAATTTAAGCTGGCTTACTTTTTAAAACTTATCCACATATAGGTAATCATAAGCTTGACTATGCTAGTTTTATCCGCTTATTCTAATGAATTTTAAAAGAAATACACAGTACATAAAACAAAATAAATTAAAGTAAAATTGACACAAATACCATCTAGAATTTCATACCCTGAGTGGTATGAATACTAAACTTGGTGAAAAGACAAGGTAACTTATGAAAATAAAGTCAAAAACACTGGTCTAGAATATAAGAATTTGGGTTTAAAGGAATCTAATTCCATTGCGTTTATTAAGACAGGCAATCATCAACTGTTATATCCATTATTCTTTCATTATCCAAAGAACTGATTCAATACATTATTTTAAAAAGGGTACAATAGGACTAACGGTCAATGAGTAGAGTTTTTGTTTTACATCTGAATTTGCATAAATCCCACTCTCATCATGCCAAGTGTGGATGCCAAATCTTTTGGAACCATCTAGGTCTGTGAACTGTGAACGGCATTTTCTGTGGACTATTGAGTAATCATCTTGACAGAGAGGAATCTATGAGAAAAACAGAAATAACATTGAATGTCTAAAAAGAGAAATGACATTGAATGTCTAAAATATGTAAAGACAAATTATCTCCAAAAGTTGATCTTAATATATTATTCTTATAACCAAAAGTAAATTTTTAACAATTAATAAATTTATTCTCTCAACAAATGCCTCCAGCAAATGACTATTGCCTTTATAAGTAGTTCAAAATCAGAAAGAAAAATCCAGTTTATATTTTTTTATAAAAGTAAAAAGGTAAATTGTAATGTAAGTAATTTTTTTCTAAATTCTGAGTACATGGCATAAAAAGCAATTAAAGTTTTATCATCATCCAAATGAAACCAAACATTAAAATTTAACTACCATTCAACACGTTTCATTGTTGTTATTGTTGTTATAACCATTCCAAAGAACATCATCTTGGGTTGCACCTTTAATAATCGCTACCAAGTCAGACTTCCCACAATGGTAAATGCCACAGTCTAGATTCATTCCTATGAGAAATTGACCTCAACATCACCCAGTATAGTGTAAGATGTTTTTCCTTAGGCTACTTCATAAAAGCTTCACTGTAATAAAACAAGACATTATCACTGACCATTTCCAAAGGAAATATTGATTCTTTCGTAGTCCACTGGCATGATGGTGGACGTGGAACATAAAGCCTTTTAACTGATTATCTAATTTCTGCTTTAAATTGGCTCTAATTTTAAAGCACGAGGACAATATTGAAATTAAATTGCCAAAGCTATAAAACAATGAATAACACCAAAGTAGTTCCAATCTTAGATTGGTTTTCTTGAAAATTGAAAATTTTAACCATATGTTCCACCATAATAGTGTCCATTTATCAATTGAGTGTGTATAATGGGCTGGACACAGTACTTGAGTGCTTTTATCTTTCAGTCCCTCATTGGGATCTGAAGTAAGAATTACTACTCCTATTTCATACATAAGACAAATTGCTTAAGATCTCAAAAGGAGAGACTTTAAAGAAAGCCAATAATAGGAAACTAAACCAGGACTACAAACTAGGTGTGACTGACGGAAAGACCCAATGTCCCACTAGAAACCTTTAATAATTAAGAGATGAAAAAATATATATATACTATATTTTTTATATATACAGCTACATAACATCCATGTCATTATTTTACATATTTTGGACTTCAGCTTTTGCCAATGGGCTATTTCTTTGCTTTTGTTTTTATTTGCTGTTGCCATTGTTGTTGGTGGTTGTGGCTATCGTGGTTGATTGAATGGTTAGTGGGTTAGGTAGAGGTACTTTCCATGAGATCTGAGCAACAATGTCTCAAACTGTACCATCAGAAGGAGATGGGACCTTCTAGTTCCCATCCCAATTGTGGTCGAACTCAAGAGAATTTCAAGTGCAAAATTAATGTGTTTCTTTAGCATCTCATTGGTAGACAGTAGGGTTTGCTTTTGTGAGATTAGCAACAAGATGAAATGCTATATTTCAGGAAAATGATTCTAATAGTAGAAGTACTAAAGACTAGAAATGGAAAGGACTGGATTAAAAACCGTGCTGAGAATTGGATCTCAATAACTCACATCATCAGTTGATGGACCGATAAACAAATGGGGTCTAAGCATACATTGAAATGATTGAAAAATGAAAATGTTTGGAAATTGTGGTGATCATTATACAACCATGTCATATACTAAAAAACTGTAAGTTGTACACTTAAGAGGGGGAATTTTGTGGTATGTGGGATTATATCTCAATAAAGCTGGTATTTAAAAAAAAGAATAAGTGCATTGAGGGTAGTGATTCTGAAGTTAGAAAAACTAGTTAAGAAAGAGTTGCCTGTTCATACAGATGACATTGAGTGCCTCCCCTTATCAGTGATGTATTAGTAAAGCAATTCTAAAAACAAAGCAAACAAAAAAGTCAAACCCATGAAACAGGGAGTCATTTGAAAATTATTCATATATTTTCCCCTTTCTATGTATCTCATTTGCCCAAAAGGAGGTTAAATTTTTTTCAGAAATATGCCCACCAAAGAAGACATTTGGTATTTGTTTTTTAGGGATTGGCTAGCTTCACTAAGCATAATCTGCTCTAGTGCCATCCATTTCCCTGCAAAGTCTATGATTTTGTCATTTTTTAGTGCTGCGTAATACTCCATGGTGTATAAATGCCACATTTTTTTTTATCCATTCATCTATTGAAGGGCATCTGGGTTGGTTCCACAGTCTAGCAATTGTGAATTGTGCTGCTATGAACATCGATGTAGCAGTACCACTGTAGTACGCTCTTTTAAGGTCTTCAGGGAGGTGGGATGGAAAGGGAGAGAAAAGGGAAATTGCATGGTAATGGAGGGAGACCCTCATTGTTATACAAAATTACATATAAGAGGTTGTGAGGGGAATGGGAAAATAAACAAGGAGAGATATGAATTACAGTGGATGGGGTAGAGAGAGAAGATGGGAGGGAGGGAGGGGGGATGGTAGAGGATAGGAAAGGTAGCAGAATACAACAGTTACTAATAGGGCATTATGTAAAAATGTGGATGTGTAACCGATGTGATTCTGCAATCTGTATTTGGGGTAAAATTGGGAGTTCATAACCAACTTGAATCTAATGTATGAAATATGATATGTCAAGAGCTTTATAATGTTTTGAACAACCAATAAAAAAAATTATATGAAGGGACAAAAAAAAAAAGAAATATGCCCACCAAAGAGTAAAGTAATGTCAGCTTCTAATATGAAAAATAGGATTTTTTTTGGTACAGTAAGCCTTGTAATCCAATGGACAGTTTTGAGTACTTCAGAATGTCAATGATCAGATGTCAAATCGTGGAGTTCTCCAAATGTGTAGGGAAAATATCCTTTGCTCTGATGGCTTAGAGAAGAGTTAAGAGGACTATAGGGAAGTATCTATCTACCTGGGGAATTGCAGAGAGGAAAAAAATTAAGAAAACCAGAAAGGGTCCATTGCCAACTTTCCCATCCCTGGACTTTAAACCAAAGTCCCTTTGTCCTGGGCAGAAAGAATTGCATTAGATAAATAATGAGAATAATGGCAAAAAGACATAGGGGGCCATCAGGCCACATCCTTGTGGAAAACTCTGATAACAGATCACCTTTCAAACTGTCCTTTCAATTGCCTGCCATGACCAAGCAGAAGGACCCTCTAAAAGTCATCTATCCTGAACCATCATTGATATCCTGTTTCATAAACAAGATCTGAAAGTAGCTGCTAGTCTGTAGAAAGGGGTGCAAATGGGGCTACAGAGTTGAACATTGAAACAGGGGCTGGATGGGGGCCGGCTGAGTCTTCCTGAATACACCTTCTTGGCTCTAAACAAGGCCACAGAGAAAGAGAAAAAACTGCCAATTACAATGTGCACATGTTAGCCATTAATGCCAGCAAGGAAAAAAGCACCAGGTAGAGCACAGCAACCCCCAGAGACACCCAGAAGAGGCAAAGAACAGTACAGGTAAACTCACCCTTCCTCTGTTATCAGGATGCTATGTCACATCCCCCTCTTCAAAAGCTGAATATCCTCTTAGGGAGAGTTTCCCTTACTATTGCTGCAAACCACCCCACACATAGTATAAAACAAAAGCCATCTTATTATGTCTTGAGATTTGGGGGGTCAGGTACTTGGGCAAGGTATGGCAAGTACAGAGTTTCTGCTCCACAACATCTAAAGGGATCAGCTGTGAAGACTTGAAAGTTGGGGCAAATTGAGGGCTAGGTGCTGGAAACATCTCCTATTCCAACTGGTAGTTGATGTTGGCTGTCCACTGGGATCTTGGCTGGGCTGTGGGATGGAACAACCATATATATGTCCTTGCTTGATTTTCCTTACAACATGGCAACTAAGTTCTGAGAATAAGCACCACAAAGTGAACCAGGAGGAAGGTGCACTTATTAGCCAGCTCCCAAATCCACAGAGCATCACTTCCAGGGCAGGTAATATAGACTCTGCCTCTCAGGGAAAAGAGCATCAAAATTACATTGTAAGATCAAATGGGATGGGAACACAAGTCGCAGCCATTTTTGAAAAACACACTTTTTTTCTTCATTTCAGAGAGAAAAGTAGGATATATCAACACCCCTAGGTTTGATTATTTTCTGGGAAGACTCACAGTTGTGTATATATGCAATTGTACTCATGGCTATGCTTTATTACAACAAAAGGATACAAAGAAAAATCAGCAAAGAGAAAAGGTACATGGACAGAAGTCCAGTGGAAGCCAGGTGCAAACCTCCAAGAACACCTTCCCAGTGGAGTCTCAGGCAAATATAATTCCCCCAACACTGAATTGTAAAATGCTCTCTACTAGGGAAGCTCATTAGAAACTCAGTGCCCAACGTTTTTATTCAGGATTGGTCACATAGACATCCTCAGCCTTCCAAAATTTCAGACTCCCAGAAGTAAAACATGTTTGGCTAAACCATATTGTTTACACGAATGGATCACACTCAGTGAACCATTCTACTCATGGAATTCTTATCCTGAAAGCCAAGTTTCTACATGTCAGACAAGCCTTGCAATCAGGCTTTTTTAAAGGACAATAATCTCAGCTCTGCTGTGTTATCTCTTTACTGCACACAGGAGATGAGAAGTGAGAATATTTTTTAAAAGAAATTAAACACTTCCACTGAGAAAGGTTTACTGTGGAACCAAAGGAAGCATTACTTGGTGGAAAGAATTAAGTGTTTTCCTACTGCAGGTGGGTTGGGAAGAAGGCTAATTACATACTTCCTCTACATACATGAGTCGACAGAAGCAGGAAGTTGTTCAATGCCTTAATTTAATAGTTAAATCTTAGCTGTTCTGGGGGGAAAAAGACTCAGGATATAATGGAGTAGGGGAAAGTATTTAGAAATTGTGTACAGAGACAGCTTTGTAAAATACTACACATTGGTGGCTGGCCCACTATTTGGTGCTACTCAGTTTTGGATTTCTGTCACAGTTTACTCAAAGTCAGGCAGGCATTTTCAAGCTTTTTCTGAACCCTTCAGATAG